GCCACAGTGAGAGCAGAGCAGAGCCGCGAGTTGGCTGCTGGCCTCCTCCTGGTTTCACATGGCATGGCTTTAAATTATTGAGTGGTTGAAAAGGCCCACAGTGACAGCCTATTTCATTTGTTTCTCTCCTGGGCTGGGAAGCAGATCAATGCTTCCGCTCCATGTGGGGGCCACAGCTTAGGCTGGAGAGCAGGTCTAGCTCTGCCATGGCTCCCTTACAGGCAGGAACTCGGCACTGTGAAATCTCCAGACCCACATCTTTCTAGACCAGGTCCCATGTGAGCCTTGCTGCCTTGTGTCACCCTCCTCAGGCTCACTTTAAGGGAAATTTCCTCAGACCCAGGGAGAGCGCCAAGAGGATGAAATCGGCTTGACAGCTCTGGCCTCTTCTTTTATGGAGTGGGGGTGTCAATGGAGAGGCACCGTGGGGCACACATTGACCCCATAGCTCAGTGGGCCCTTTTCCTCTGGGCTAGTGACCCCCAGAGTCTTTAGAGACCAGGAGGAGCACCATGGACATTAAGATGAGGAAGGTTTAATGTCATCTGGCAGTTCTGATGCTGGGGATGGGGCCAGGTAGGAGAGAGAAGTTGAGGCTTGGAAGTGATATGGCCGTGAATGGCCCTGGGTGTGGAGGGCCCTGACTTGGCAGGGCTCAGGAGAGGCTGTTACAAGAAGAAAGCCCAAAGAGTTAGTCCGTGTTTTCCAGAAGGGTGGACATTCCCGTCAGCCAGAGGTAGAGCATAAGGTATGGACCAGTGGGACAGGACCCATTTTGACCATTCACTCCCCGTGTGACTCTTAGATTCTTACATTCTTTGTAGGCAGTAACAGGTTCTGGAGGGCACATTACCAAATGACCCATGGCTCACTCTTCTCCAAAAGGTCTGGATACATTCTAATGGCTGCACTTAGTAATAGCAAATGCCTCAGGTCTCTGTCTGTAAAATGGTAGTGGTGACTATGGTGATGATAAGACCCTTGAGACAATGTAACTAAATTGCAGGGTTTGGCACAGAGGCACAACAGCCCTGGCTGTAACTTCCTTCTCTGGTTTGCCCCCCCCCCCAGGTACAGTTTTACATTCATCCTCCATTTTTATGCCCTGAGCCAAGGCCCCATGTGTGGTTCATCCAACTCTGGCTGCCAAAGGGGCCCCTCTGCCCTATGAACAGACTCAGCTTTCCTGTCTTAACTTTCCACACATATGCCGTCATCCTACCTGTTGTCTCCATGAGGCTGACACTGGGGGCTCCACCTGCTTTCCTGGTGGAGGACCTGGTGTGGGAGGGCCTTCTGTCTATGTGTTGCTTTTATTGGTTAATGAATAAAGAAACTGCTTTGGGCCTATAGGAGAGCTATAGGGGAACAAAGCTAGGCAGGGAAAACTAAGTTGAATGCTGGGAGAAAGGAGGCCGAGTCAGAGAGAAGCCATGGAGCCACTAGGGATAGGGGATAGATGCTGGGAACTTTACCCAGTAAGCCACAGCCACATGGTGATATACAGATTAACAGAAATGGGTTAAATTAATATAAGTTAGCCAATAAGAAGCTAGAGCTAATGGACCAAAAGCAGTGATTTAATTAATACAGTTTCTGTGTGATTATTTCGTGTCTAAGCTAGCCAGGCAGCTGGGAACCAACAAGCGACCTTCTCCAACAGGGACCCCCTGTCTAAAAAAAGGGAAGTGATTACTTCCAAGACAAATGCTTTTCACCTGGAAGCAATGCAAAGGGCTTGTCCTCTGGGCACTGATGGAAAAAGAGCCCTCACTGTAGTCACAGCCCATGTATGTGTCTCAGGAGGTCCCAACCATGAAGAAACTTCCTACAAGACATAGCAGGACAGGCTGAGCTCATTAGCTGCACTGTCAGATTCAGACGTGAGCATCAACTTCATTTGTTTCTCTTGTCTTTTATCTTCATGCTTCAAGGAACACACTCAAGTTGATAACCTGTTGCCCAAGAGAAAGCAGTGACTGGCTCATGATACTCAGAACTCATGATACTCAGGCCACAGGCCAGGACCTGTCTATTTGTTCTGTGCCTCATCCTGTGCTAATCTACATTCCATAATCAGTGGTCAGGCTATTCTCCTAAAGGTAGGCGTAACATAGCACCCTTGGATGACCTTATGGCCCACTGGGGGCTCTGACAATCTTGTCCTGTCTCCTGTGTACCTCATCCCTTCCTTTGCTGGCTTTGGGCATGACTTTGAATATTGTAGCAGCTCTAACATAGGACTGATAACACAAGAGATTGCTCCAGAGCCCAAGTTCCAAGTTGGGAGAACTCTGGGTTAGAACAAAGGGAGATTGTCAATGCTCTTGTCTTTAAATGTTTTCTAATCCCAAAGAAGGCAAATCCCATGAGAGGCAGTGGTGTGCGGACAGATCCTCCCTGGAAGGGCACAGGCCAATGATACATCTGAAGTTGCCTGCAGTCCCAGGGGTTGGACCACACCCATCCCTCCCCTGGTGCCCTGGTGCCTAGAAAAGCTCCACTCCCTCTAGGGTTTTCCAGAAAGAGAGACTGACTTATCTTAGACCATCTTCTGTTGCTGTGACAACACACCTGAGCCAGGTAGGTTATTAAAAATAGAGGTCTCATGGTTCTGGAGGCTGGATATTCAAGAATGTGTCTCCCACATCTGATCTGCATCTGCCCCTGTGATGCAGGATTTCCTTCTGTATGCTGTGATTACCATTAATGAATAAAGAAACTGCTTTGGATCTATAGCAGGGCAGAACTTAGCAAGGTGAGGAAAACTAAATTGAATGCCAGGAGAAAGAATGACGGAGACAGAGAGATACCATGGAACCACTGGAGACAGATGCTGGTTGGAACTTTAGCTGGTAAATCACAGCCATGTGGCAAAACACAGATTAATAGAAATGGGTTATGTAATTTTACTGTGTTAAAGTTAAAACCTTCCTTTTTCTTTAAACAGAAAAGGGGAGGTGATGTGGGATTCCTGTATTTGTGGTTACCATAGATAAATAAAGGAATGGCTTTAGGCCTATAGCAGAGCTATAGTGGAACAGAACTAGGTGGTAAAACTAAGCTGAATGCTGGGAGAAAGGAGGCAGAGTCAGAGAGAAGCCATGTAGCCCCACCAGACACAGACACCCAGAACTTTACCTGGTAAGCCACAACCTTGTGGCGATACACGGATTACTATGAATGGGTTAAACTAAGATGTAAGAGTTAGCCAATAAGAAGTTAGAGCTAATGGGCCAAGCAGTGTTTTAAATAATATAGTTTCTGCGTGGTTATTTTGGTTCTGGGCGGCCAGGACAAACAAGCGGCCTCCCTACAACACCCCTGCATCTCAATGGTCAGTGGGAGGGTCTTGGTCCGGCTGTTAAGGGTGTGGAGAGCTTCCTGTGCCCTCTTTGAAGCCTTTGGCGCCCTCTCCAGGCTGGCTGCTTAAACAGCAGCAGTGGGACTTGGTAACAGTGAATCATGGGACTTGATTTTCCCAAGTCATTGTTGACTGAAATCATGAATGGACCCCAGTGAAATTGGCCCGTCCTTTGAGGGTGGGTGATGGGCCCACATTTACCCCACATTTACTGTCATCTTGACTATTGTTTATTCAGTATTGGCTCTAGGCTAGTAGCTTTGAACAGTTTTCTCTGTATTACTAATTTAAGCCAAGGGTATTAATTGTGACTTAAAAGGTGAGGAAACTGAGGTACTGAGAGAAAGCAAGTGACTGAGATCGCCCATGGGTCATAACCCTGCAGACCCAGAACAAAGGTCTAAATTTAATCTATTCAAATCGACTGTTTTGCTACAAGTCAAATCCAGCCCTACAGAATTCTGTGCATGAATAAGTTGCTGCTGGGCCAGCCCTACCTTAGTTATCAACTTCCTGGGTGATTTGGTTTTCTGGGCAAAAGACCCCAGAGTCAGTCCCGCTCTTTGTGCTCTTGGTGGGCACCTGTTGCTGAAGCACAGCTGCCAACAGGGTCTGCTGGTTTACAGGATGTGGAGGAATATGCAGCTCCCCTCAAGGTTTCACCAGAGCCTCTGGCCTCCTGGTCCCCTTTGAAATAGATGGATGATACTGATCGCCGGGGAGGCATTTCTGTTTCTGTCTCAGTATTACTTCGAACAGCCCTAATCCGGGCCAAACGCTCCTGGCCTGTGCCTCTCCATTCAGTGCCACATCCTGCCCTGAGCTTTGCGCATCCGTGCTCTCGCTTCTCTCTAGCCCGTCTCCTCTCAAGCTCTTGTGCCCACCTGTTGTCACCGCCAGCGCACGGCAGAATCCACCTGTGCCTCCCTATGCAGGCTCTCCTTTCAGTCTGTTTTCACGCCCTGCTCTCCTCTGGACGCCTGACGTCACAAGGGCATGGTCACCGTGTGGGCAGAATGGCTAGAGAGTAGGATGTGCCAGAGTCTTCTCAGTGTGCATCACCCAGCGTCAGCCGAGCCGTAAGAGCGACGTCTGGGCGTAAGGCGAGGTGGCTAACCGCTTAGCCAAGGAGTCCGTACACCTGCGCCGGAATCCCAACCCGTTAGAACCTCCGCTTTGGGGGGGTGTGTCATTAAATACTGCTCCTGGTCTGCTTCCCCGGCCCGCTCCCCTTGCCCCACCTCAGTTCCCCCTTTCTGTGTACTGGGAAGGAAGAGAAGATATGGTTCCGAGACCTTCCATCACTCCAGAAGAGTTACTCCAAGATCCTTTTTCCCTGCACCTCCCTCTTCGCGCTCCCGGTACTGAAATGAGCCATAGTCTTGTCCTTTAGACCGTGTTGACAGCTCTGCAGAGCTCCAAAAGCAGGTGCTGGAGGGCACCTGCGTTACCGCCAGCCTGCGCCTGCGCGGACCGCATAGCCTACTGGGACTTGTAGTCCTCACATCTAACCGCGGTGGCACGCAGGCGGGTTGCGGGGGCGCGGCGCCTACACTTCCCAGGGTGCGACCCTCCCGCGACTAGACAAGGGGCGGGGCCTAGTTGAGGGGCGGGGCTAGGGGCGGGACGGGAGCCCCGAGCTGCGGTGGCGCTGCGGGCTGAGGGTACTGCGCTCCGAGCCTCTGGCCACAGGAGCGCCAAGGATCGTGCGAGCGCCGCACCTGCGGGCCCAGTTGTCGGGCTGTCGCAGAGCGGGGACCGCCCTACTAGGAGCTGCCGCTGACATGAGTGCAGGTGAGTGTTGCGACTGGGTATCTGTGGGTTCCGAGCTGCAGTCCTGGCAGGGTCTCGAGGACTGGGTGGCAATCAGGCTGCACCTGCACTGCAGTGCCCTGAGTACAGCGGCTCCACCCAACTTTTGCTCCAGGATGTGCAGCCTCGAAAGCCCGGCCTTCAGTCCCTCTCCCTGAGCCGGGTCGCGGAGTTCCGTGGCGTGCGCCAGAAACCCTTCCCACCGTGCCAGCTAGGGTAGCTGCGCAGTGATGTCTGGCAGGCGCCACTCCTTGCTTCTCTGTGGGGGGTTCCAGGTTGCTTCAGTAAAGGGACGTGGGTGCCATTAAGGGGCCCTGGGTCATCGCAGTCCTAACCGTGGAGAGAGGTGTGATGACAGGCGGAGCTGTGCAGCAGGGGACTCCGCCCTTGCGCGGTTCCCGCAGAGCCTGGGTGGTGGCGTCTGGCAGACCCTGAGCGCTCCAGGTTCGCTGCTGCAGATCTGAGTGCCGGAGCCTGTATGTGTGTCAGTCTCGGCACTGTCTGCGCGCGATGTCCTTCCAGCCCCTCAGTCCTGAGTGTCTCAGCCCTATCTCTCCCGCTGCACCCACCCACAGGGATCTGTCAGCCCCTGTGCGATGCTGGAAAATCCCACATCCCTGCAGCCCAGCGGTGCCTGTACACAGAGAGAAACAGATCTCTAGAAGGCTTTGACTCAGACGCGGGAGTGTCTGCACATCACCTAAGGGTGCACCCATCTGAGCCTTATGAGTGAGGCTGTGAAAAGGGCTGATCCTTTCATTTCCTAGCAGAGAGGGGCAGGCCTCCATTTCCATGAGCTATGGCCAGACTTCAATGACTTGAGCTCTGGCAAATGATAGAGATTTGAACCCAGGGCATTTTGATTCCAGGATGCTTCCCCCAAGCCCAAGTTGCTACTGACAGCAGTATGGCCATTGGCCACATTGCATAAACCAATATGTCCAGCTACTTCCTCTGGGAGAAAGTGGGCAGGGAGGGAATGAGCTTGGGGACTGCTGACTGTAGGCTTGTAACCCGGAGTCCCTCCTCCCGGAAAACGGTCCCCTCTCCCTCCTAGCCAAGGAAGGAGGAACTTCTGCAATGGGTGTTGAGAGTAACTAGGAGCGAGTGGCATGGGAAGTGGGAGCCCTCCTGAGATAGCCAACCTGTTACCTGGGGGTGTATAGGGCGGCCATCCCCAGACTTGGCAGGACCTCCAGACATTTATCTAATGGTGGTGGGGATAATGGCTGGGTGCACGTAGGGTAATTTCATGTTTCCAGACCATAATTGATACTTCTCGTCCTCCTGTAATCAGGAGCCCTCAGAGGAAGCACAGGTGCCCACTCCCTGCATTTGTAGTTTTTGTCCCCAGGGGAGGAAGACTGGTTGTTATGGCAAGGAGACTGGGTTTGGAGCTGTGGTCTGTGTCTGGTGATCCTGGCACTGGGGCGTCGTCCCAGTTTTGGCCTGCTCATCTGGAACTTCGGTTACTCTCTACGCGAGAAATCTCTGCACACAGCAGCCCCTCAGGAGTGTGGACGGTCGTTGTCATTGCTGGGTGACCTGGGTTCCTTTTGGAAATGGAGCTCAAGTATTGTCTGGCTCACCTGTCTCTCATGTCTTGGCTCTGGCCAGCCTATGACACACACGGGACATTTACAGTGGAGGAGAGTGGACAGAGGTGCCGAGGTTCCAGTGTGTGGCTGCAGTGTACATCCGGCAGCTCAGGAACATTCACTGTCAACAGGGAAAGACTCCCCTGTGCCTCCCTGGGAAAGGCTGGCATCATTCTGGAACCTGGCACAGACAGGTGTCATGGAGTGATACTGGTCCTGACCATGCCCAGACAGGCAGGTGATGGTGCGCCTGGTATCCCGTACGGCCTCCTGGGCTAGGTGCCTTCCTAGTTGTGGTGAGGACAGAGTGGGCGCTGCTGGGGTCTGACGGCACAGTGCTGCTTCGTGCTGGTTCTGGTGGGGCACTGAGGCCTGTGGATACCACCCTGGCTGTGTTTGCCTGTTGGTCTCAAGTGGCCAGGGAAAGGCTTTCAGAACACTGCAGCAAGGTACAAGGAGATGATGTTCCATGGCAGTCAGGTCTTGATCCAGATCAAGACACTAGTCATGCAGTTCTCTGTGCCTTGATTTCACTAACTTTTGGAGGTATCTCTATAGCTGTGTGTGTAGTGATAGCCCTCAGACGATGAGACTGGAAGGTGGTATTGGGAGCAGAGGTTGCTTCTTTGCAATGGAACACATGTGACCACAGTGGGGTAAGGAGGCCGGGAAGGCATCTGAACTGGTTCAGACCTGATGAACCCTGTGCTGGCTCTGCCAACAGGCACTGGGTCTTGAGTAAGGCCTGTGTACTTGCTAAACCTACATGTCCCTGGGGGTAACTATAGGCCTAACTAAGCTGAGGAAAAAAATGTATATACCGTGTGTGTGTCTGTGTGTCTATCTGTGTGTCTGTAAGTCTGTTTCTGTGTCTCTATGTATTTGATTCTGTAACTAGCTGCCACAGAGTAAGGGCTTTATGGAGAAAGTTATTTTTGGATGTTGCTGGAGCCCAAACAACAAAGATCAAGGCATCAACAGACTGATTTCTCTCTTCTTGGCTTGTAGACAGCATCCCCTCCCTACGTCCTTACGGAGTTGTCCCTCTGTGTGTCTGTGTCCTCTCTCCTCCTCTTCTGAGGACACCATCCTAGTTGGATGAGGGTCCAAGGGTGACCTAGTTTTATCTTGGTGACCTCTGTCAAAGCCTCATCCCCTCATACAGCCACAGACTAAGGCGTTGTGGTCAGGACTATACTATGTGAATTCAGTTCACAACAGGTGGAGGCCTGGGAGCCTGGTTCAGCTACCTTTTACTCCCATGGATGCTGTGTAGGCAGCTGGAAGGGACCTGAGGATGCTCCGGATATACCCACCCCCACACGGGGCAATGAGGACTGGAGACGGACAGGCACCCTTCCAGGACTAAGGAGAGTATTTGATACAACCGTCTAACACACTTGGAATGTGGCATTCGGTCCTCCTATCCCAGGAGTGGGCAGCATGTGGCCACAAGCTGTCTGCCTGGGCACCACTAACATAGCAGAACAGGTCACCAGCCACGGTGGTGAACGAAGAATGCCAGACATCATGCCTTCATCCTAGAAATATTTACTAGGTGCCTACCGTGTGCCTTCACCACTCCAGGCTCCGAGACTTTGCAGCAAACAAAAACATGAGGAAACTACCAGTTTCTTGAAACTCGCATCCTAGGTGGGTGTGGGAGGCATGAACAATGGACTTGATGATCTCTCAGCGTTAGCAGAAAAATGTTTAAGGAAGCCATTTTCATTAAGAAACAGCAGTGGGGAGCTGGAGTACTGGCTGCTCTTCCGGAGGACAAGGGTTTGATTCCCATCACCCACACAGTGGCTCACAACCTTTTGTGACTTCAGCTCCAGGGAAATCTGATGTTCCCTTCTGGCCTCCTCAGACACCAGGTACACAGGGGGTGCACATGCATACTTGCAGACAAATACTTGCACAGATAAATAAAAAAAATAAAAAGAAACAGTGGACGGTGAAACTGCACATCGCATGTGATCTCAACTCTCCCACACAAGGAGGAAAGGCTGAGAAGGAGAATCGTCAGCGTGTCTGAGGCGGCGTCTGAGAGCCACTCACTGCCCCGCTCCTCTTTGTGACATTATGTAGACTCAAGAGCAGGAAGCAGTGTTGATTTGGTTCTGGGAATAGTGCACATGGGTTTGGAAACCCACGATTGCAGAGAAACGGCTGTTCACTCTGTAGGAGTCACTGCCTTTTGCACAGAGCACAGAGGGGCATCTCATTGCCCTTGGCTGGGTGGAGCCAAGCACAGGCAGACACACTATGTTCCATCTCCCCTAACAACCCCACGGTGGGTAAGGTGCAACAGAGATGACCCCCCCCCCCGCCCTCGCAACCCTGAAATGTGTCCGGAGTCACATTTGTCCAGGACTCTGAGGATCACAGGCTGGCACTTTTTGCTTCCATATGCTCTGTATTCCCAAGCTCTGACCTCCCCCTGCCCCCTGTGATGATCAAGGTTAGTTCTTAAACTAGCTACCCCAAATTAAGTTCCTGCTAATAAAGTAGTTTAGTATTTTCTAGAATCAGGTTTGAAGTTGATGAACTCTTGGGAAACCCATTCTGATATCCCAGGAAAGAGAGTGTCCCCTGACCCTTTGAATGTTCCTAAACTACCTGCCCTATGCAGAAGAGCTCTGAATTGGCGAGATGGAGGAGGGTCAGGTCTGAGGAAGGCCCTGTCCTGTCACTAACCCTTTAAAAGGGACCATGGCCTATTCTCAGGGCTAGGCCAGACCACAGTGGCTGACACTGCAGCTGTTGGGCCTCAGGGATGCTGGCCCCATGCTCACTTGCTCTAGACTCTGTGGTTGTCCTCTGCACAGGCTTCTTATACCCCTCCTGTGCTTTCCTGTGGCTGTGCCAGCCTCATCGGAGGTGGGTAAGACCTGCCTTCTGGGTAGGCTTCTTGCCTCTGTCGTCCTATGTATTTCCCCGATCGTATATCAGGGTCTTGGGGGACCGAGGGTGCTAGACACTCAGTACCATTACCAGCTGCCTGGCAGAGCCTCAAGGAGCAGGTAAAACAGCAACGGCAGGAAGACAGTGTGAGAGGCAGTGTCAGCTCTTGGTCACTTGGACTTGGTCACTATCATGTGCTGTGATGGGGGCTTCTTGGCTGTTTCAAGCTTGCTGGGCTTCAACCAAGTTACTGCGTAGAGCTTCATGGCTGCTGGTCCCTGGCGGAGTAACTGGAGCGCCTCATCTCTGTTTACTCCAGGAATATTTCCACCACCACACAGCTCAGGGCTTCTAGGGTATCCACAGCACCCAGGCAGGACGGACGGGCTTGTATGTCACCTCAGCAGCTGTGCTCACAGGGCACTTCCTCAGGGCCTCGGGCCAGACTGGGGATCTGCTTTCTCCTGTATCCTC